ATAAATACAGATGTACTTTAGGGCGTAATTAATTCTTTATTTCGTGACTCTGTACACGCTTTACAATTTTAAACATGTAATTTAGAAATTTAAAATTAACAGTACAGGGATGCGGTCGAGTTTTAATTTTAAATAGACTCGATTTTTTTCAATTTTGTTTTTACAAATATAATTATTAATATAATTAAATTAATAATAATTCGGACAAAGTATCTTTTGCTCTGCTAAAGAGAAACAAAATGTGATCGTAAGCATTTCTGACTAAAACGATATGTCTGAAGCACCGTATGGAGAAGTACCTATTTCCAGAGCCCGTTTATGTTCACGGCTCGTTGATTCACGTAATTATTCCGAATAATTATGCTGCTACTTTCTTAAGAGTGGAAATACTGTCCACTCTTATAAGCCAAGTACCCTATTAAAGTAACGTTCGAAAAAAAAAAGAATACACGGAGATATTACCGAGGGAATTCGTACTTCTGCTTACCTTTATGCAAAAGTTTCGAAGAGAAGTAAGTGTTTAGAGGTACATGCCTCTATTCACGGTGTGACTGTTATTAATATCTCTCTCGACAGTATCCTTCTGAATGTAAATTGATAAAACTTTGCAAAAGTTAACGGAAGTTCTGATTGCCGCGAAACAAAGTCCGAAACGAAATTAGTGATAAACTATTTCCGTAATAAAAGCCCACTCCCGTCAGTATATATTATAGTTCACTTTCATCGCGCAAAGCGAAATAATACTTGCGAGATAGTAATATCACGAAGTAGTCGCGAAAATATGTGATTTCGCAGTTCATGAACTTAGGCGTTCTATTATGGAACATTGCATAAATTTAATATTTAATTTTAACGCGATGGCATTTACAACCGGAGGCACTTCTGGTCAATAATCAAATGTACTCTACAAAAATGTTTACGCAAAGAATAAGTTTTAATGTGACGCGTAAATAAAGATTAGAAGAATATTAGAATAAATTTTTATTTTAAAAATTTAACGTACGTGTATCATTGGAAAATAATTAGAGAGAGAGATATATCAATCAATAATTATATTTTTATATGATTAGTTTTTACTTCAATTTGAGAGAATTGTTCGAACAAGTTCGAACTGTTTAAATGTTTTACGTTTCTCATCAACATTTTAAATAATTATCAGCAAAATGTGATTGCTCTGAAACATGTTGTATTAATCACTTCTTAGATTTTTTTATATTTTTGCTATATATTTATTATCAAACTGGAAAAGTAAATATACTCTAGAAAAAAAGAGTATATTTATCGTATGGCTCCTGCTAAACCTGCCAGTTTTCGTGACGATGTAGCATGTTGGTGTGATCGTTCAGAAAATATCAGGAACTTTCCATGCATAGAAAATGTGAAAAAGTATAGAACTCGTATTACATATGTTTATACATGCAACATCGTCACTTTGATACTTCTTTGCGGCGTAGTTTTCGTTTCTATCGTTTCATATTTCTTTTCTTGCAAGTCAAAAATATTTACTAAGTTTCATATACCGGAATCTATTACACTTACGAATTAGAAATTGCATATCACGAATACATATGACATATGACATAAATTAAATTACATCATATTTTTGTAAAAAGGATCAGTTGACGTTCATCGAAAGGTTTATTGTTGGAAATTATTTATTGTTGGACTGATAAAGCTTTTTCCATTAGGTAATTACGTTATATGATGTTGCAGAAATGTACGTGAAAAAAGCCACAAAGAGATTACATTACAGTAATAAATCTATACGTATATTTATTAAATTGCTCTGCTACATTTTACATAACCATTTTTGTAGCTATTATAGAAATTACAACACACCCACATCAAACATATCCAATTTCATGTTTTTTCCTTTGCTTTTTATCACATTTTATTTATTTAAAATGATCTAAATTTAATACGGGAATATTTACTTATATTTAAAAACAAAATATCTTGGTTTTAAAACAATTAAATCAGACATGTTTTAAATTAAAGCATTAACAAATAAAATGTATTTATATTGTTTAAATAAATTCCATAAAGCCAGCAATTTTCGACCGCGATGACGTAAATCTATAAATAAGCTTTATATTTATATTTTGCTTATATATTGAATTTTATAATATACATATATGTGTATCTCTTTTCGCCGAATTTGGCGGATCTCAACTCCTAATTTGATACATTGTAAAATAATAAGTAATGTAACTTTCGTAATTATTCCGCACGTTTGTGTATCATTGCTATGCGGATACGACATATCGCGTTCCAAACGGTCGTCGCCGCATTTAGAAAGCTTCGGTTGCACTTACTTCCCCCTGTGCGTTCGCTACATGCGATCGCGCTTCGCGGCCTACCGTATTATATTTGTTAGTTTCCGAGCAAGCGGCCACACAGATTTAGAACTTACTTGGGTGTTGGCCAACACGTGACGTGCTTTCAGATTACTAGAATTTGAAGCATTTCCGACGTAATTGCGCGCGCGACGTGCAGACGCGATAGGCTTATATAACGCATTTAAGACATTATCTCGTGGTATCATCGCGTCATAAACTAATGTTATCGGAATGTGATGAAAGAAATGTTAGATCGGCTTAGAATGCCTTATGTGTTTGTCATTAAAAAAATTTTACGCGAATATTTCTATTAAAGGTTTTACAGTAGTAAATAAACTTAAAAAACGTCAAAAAATTTCTTTATCGTATATTATGGCTTTTTCATGACTGACGGTTGAATTATTATTTTACATTATTATTTCACTTTCAATTTTTATTGCGTTTTTATATCCTGTACGTGTAATCTTTTCCTGAAAATATCAATGACACGCGATGATATATCGCGCGCACATAGTTCCAAATTGTTTTCGTGCAACGAAAGTTTACGGCGCCTAACGTCGCTAAAACGGCGTTAAGTGATTTTCAGGATGTCGTTTATATGCAAAGATATACATCAGTGACGAAAGCAGCTCGCGACGATTTATACATTTTTTTTTCACACGAGATAACATCTATGTATGCGTCGTGTATAATAGCGTAGATAGGATCAGCGTAAATTTATTCTCCACGGATATTTAAAGAGCCCGCTCATCGTCATGCAATATATATTGATGCACTAGCTGCGTATCGCTATTTTTAAATTCCGATAGGATTTCTTTACTACGTATAAACAAAACAATTGATTTTTGATAAAAATAGATAAGTTGTCCCAGCGTACAGTTAACAAACAATGTGCGACGTCGAACGTACGATGTAAAGAGGTAACAGATTCTGCGTAAGATCTGTAGGGTCAAAGAGGGAGGGGAGGGGGGTTGGCATTTCGCTCGTAAAGCGTATAGTCCGATATCCGCGAACTCGCGGGATCTCGGTTCGCACTTTCGCTCAGCGCGTGCTGTAATAAAACACGTTCGAGATTCCCGAACACAGAAAATACGACGTGCGAAAATATTTTCCCTTTGCAATATCGAAATTCACGGCGTTGCGCAATCGGGGACAGCCTTTTTTCACTCGATACGGGAGTTTGATTACGAGCGCGCCGGTGCATATATACGATATATCGAATAACGGGAGCGCGCGTACAAATTGCGGTGGCACGGTAAACGCGGTATATGCGTGCGGCTTGAATTTTTTTTTCCCGCAAGCCCCTCAAGATGTGCAAGATACCGACGTCCGTTTTCTTTCCCTTTCATCTGATTTTCAATGGCCGTGCATACATCCGGGGGCTGCGCGCGACGGGTGGTGGTGAGCTATTATTCCGCGGCCTTGAACACGCGAGGCCCTCCCGTCCTCGCCTACGGTTTATGCTTAAGAGTATGCAGTAACGCGGCCGCGCGAATGTTCGCCACGTTCGTGCAACATTAAAATCTCGTTTCGCTGAATCGCAGGTGGGACAAGCCGGACGTTGCTTTTCCACGGGGGAAATTATACTCGCGTATAAAAGCATTTTTCTCTGAATTTCTGGTCGCTGAGCATTATTGTTTTCCCAACCCCGTCGGCCGGCTTCCTTCCGTCGAGCTTTTCAACTCCTCAGACAGGCATCAAGAAGTCTGACGCTGTTTCTTGGCTTGTCGTACATTTTCTCCAGTCCTAATTCCGGTCATTTTCGCGAACAATTTTGGCGTCGTATATAAGTTGATTTTTGTTTCTCTCTTTTCGCTGTTTATTGATTTATTGAAAAACATATTTATTTGAGAATTTGTAATACGTAGACAATAACAAAATACATTTTTATATATGTTAAGATTTTGTAATCGATTTTCTTATTGAAATAATTGTTAAGAAAATAACTGTAACTGCAGTGTGTGTTGTAATTGCACGAATAAAAATTTGATAGATAAAATATCTTATTATATTTGAATAATAATAAGATATTTTATCTGCCAAATTTTACATGATTAGATCTCGTTTCACGCGTTTTCGGCGCCTATCTTATTATTAAAAATATATCAAAATATTCACACATAAGCGTGTTATTTCAACAATCGGAACTGTGTCACTAAGAGTGACTAAGAGCTACCGAGAAAACTGCTCCGTGAACAGCATCATAACCATTTACATCCGTTTATTTATGGATGATAAAACGGTTTCTGGACGGCAAGATAAGTAGATTTCACGGTAGAGTTTATTTTTATATTATGGCGGATGCCTCGTTTTCTAACACTGAGAAATGCCGACGGTAATTGTTTTATCGTGATTTTTAAAAGGCGCAATCTTTATTTCGGCGCAACAAGAACGAAACAGCAAGAACTCAATCTCGAACAAGTTTCAAACATTTCTCCCTCGAGTTTTCTTTTATGCTCTCTTTATTCTGGTACATTAGATTGCGCGTTGAATTTATATCACACGGCATTCAGATGCACGTTCGTGCATCTTGTTTAGACAAGTACCTGTCAGATGCATGTGATGCATCATACGTGTGAGACAGATCGCAGAACTCTTAGCGGTAATCCCGGATTTATTCGCGGTCCGATCTCGAGGGGGAAATTTAGGTCGCTGACTCACCCTCGGCCTCGCGTAGCACGACGAATCCGCCGAGAAACAGGAAGACGACCGCCGCGGCCGCTCGCATTCCCACACTTAGGCGGACGAGATCCTGTCCTCGGTGCATGATCGAGAGGGGGATCCACCTGGGATGCCGACGTGTCTAAACTTTCCTAGAGCACCACATTCATCAAGAGCGCCGTGCGCGTTCACCAGGATAATCACAGTAATCCACAATCGCCGTCGAATTAGCGAAATCGGCGGGAACTCACTGTTTCATCAGCACGATTGTGATATACTTTTATACTGGCAGCCCGAGATTCAATGAGAACCGTAAGAAGAAAGATTCGCGTTTCTTATCGAAATTGACGATCGGAGCGGAAACTCGAAGCGCGACGAACGGCCGAATGATGAGGAGAAAAAACTGCAGGATAAACCACGTTCACCACCTCCGAAAAGGGAAATTATGTCTGTCGACGAGGGAGCTTTTTCCACAAAGAGGAAGACTGACAGGAAGAGAGCAAAGGGAAGAACACGTGCGCTCGACGATAAGCACTGATGGATCTTCCGCTGTTGCAGGGCGTCGACAGCCGATGAGGATCCAGCGGATGATCCTCTCCACGGCGAGAGGATCCGCGATCGTGCGATCGTTGCACCAACGGACTATCTCCTCTCCGGTTGTCGATGGTTTTTTTCGTAGGTGGGCCAGAAGAGAGAGACGTTGATGACGAGATTAAACGGGAGCGAGCAACCGGAGCAGAGACAGAGTCGCGAGCGACTGGCGGGTCGGCTCGTCTCGAAGCGAGGACAGAGCGGCAGAGGCGAATCGTGCGCTTACCCGAAACTAAGCGATTCGCGGTCGTCGGCGCGACGCGCACCTGTCGTTCCGCGGGTCGCTGCGCATGTCCCTAGCTGAGAGAAGCCGACAACCGACTGCCAGAGGAGCTCCTCCGCGCTTCTGACGGGGGTGCGGGTGGCCTACGGTGCAGGTGGGAGAGACGCGAGAGGTGCGATGGGGAAGGTCGATGGGGGCGGTTGTACGGCATAGTAGGCCGCTCGAGAGAAGGAAAGAAGGGACGGGAGCAGGGCAAAGACCCGCAGAGACTCAAGGCGCTGGTGTGCGGATGTCAAATTAAGATTTTCCGTGCGATCCAGTTCTACTCGAGTGCGCGGAATCTCCCTGGTCTCTCTTTCTCTTTCTCTCTCTCTCTCTCTCCCTCTCGACGTCAAGTCGGATTCAAGCCACAAGCCGACTTTGGGGTAGGTCGCTCGCGCGGATGGGGATTTCGTTAACTCGCACGGGAACGCGATACGAATGTGCGGGCTGAGATCAACGAGATTGCGATACGTTTAACGAACCGCATGATTATATTGTTTTTAATTGTAATACGGTGGTATAAAAGATATATTTATTAACTATCCTAATATTCAAAATTCTGTAACTAAAAAGTTTTAGATACTGCGAGAGCATTTAGTGTTTGAAAAGAAATTTAAATAATTTAATACTGGAAGTAATTTCGTCCTTGTTTCAAACCAAATTTTAATAGCATTTCATAAAATATACGTTATTTTGAAACGCATAGAAAAGTATAATTATAGCGAAAGCTGCGACCAACGAAATTAGGTTAGCAAATGTTGCAACGGACTCTTCAAACACAACGGATCATCTATAAGTTTAATTTAAAAAATTTACTTCTTATAAAGATATTCTTTCTACAAAAATTCAAACTTTAAACTTGAAACTCAAAAAATAATCATAGTTATTTTGTGATTACTTGATAACAAAAGGCGTTGTTAAATGAAAGAGAATAAGCCGGCCGTATTATAACATTATTGTTATTTATTATTATTTTATCTAATATTATATCTGACACTTATTATATTTACGGTGCTTCATATATTTAAAGTATGAATACAGTTAGATTAAATTAACAACAGAAATTTATATTTTATTGATTGATAAAAATAATAAATTGCAAATTGCAATTATTATAATTATTGCAAAACATGATACTATTCAATATTATTCTCAATATTATTCGAAAAACAGAGATATATTTTTAGTAATAAGAAATATTATTTCTGTATTTTTATCTTTATATCAAGATTTATATAAGCATTTAATAATAAGATAATAGATTGTCGATTTAATTATAATTATTTAATTTATAATTAATTATAATTATAATGATTAATTAATAATTAATAATTATAAAATTAGAATGATAGAAATAAAATTAATTACTCTTACTTTGTCCGAATACACATATTTAAATACAAAGTAAAATATTCCAATAGGAAATATTCGGACATTATTTTCAAAAAGAAATAAAATGTTTTTTAAACATAAGTTTAATAATTTTCTAAAATTACGTACAAGCTTTTCAGCTTTAATATCAATGTTTCATCCAATTGAATTTTTGAGCTACTAAATTTGAAATATATTGGTTATTAATTAAAATTAATATTCAATATTTAAAATCAATTTTCATTCAAATTAATTATTTTGTATTAATTAATAATTAATAAAATACAATGAAAAATATGTAATAATTATTACTGTGTTATCTTTAATTTTATATTCATATAATGTAATTGATAAAAAGAAATTAGATATTTAAAATAATGACAAGTAAAATTTATTTGATAACTGTTTTTCAAATACTTTTTACACATTTATTTTTATCTGCATGTAGAGTGCTTAGTAAAAAGCATAAGAAACGATAATATTTTCACTAAATTTGAAAACCATTATTTTTCCCGGATATTATTATATCATTATTTATAACTTTCTACCAATCTCATTTTATCTTCGAGACCTTTTCTATTTTTTTTTTTTATTATACTCGCGTGCTTGTCATATCGATTTCACGTAATTGGTGTATCTCGTAATTATTCCGTTGTATCGCAAGATACCAAACAGTGCTAATAAATACTGCGCCGATATAATGAGCTCTATTTTACGAGCTCATTACTGTGCATCCCCCGTATACACAATAAATCAACGAATGTTCGAACGTTTCCAGGATTAAATATCGGTGTACTAGTAATTGTAATTTGTCCTAGCCAATTCATCTTAAAATAATAGACATCTACAGGATTTCGTATATTATCTATCTATAATTTTCTTCCACAGAATCCATTATCTGATCGTTTTAAAATAAATGAATAATTTGACTCACCAATATGATGCGCAGTAGCGTTTAATCTGCAAAATACAAACATGTCCAAATATTAATAGTGGTACCAAAGTGACGTAGAAATAATTCACTATACAATTTTATATGCAATTATATTTTTTAATGCGATACAAATATTTTTTATCAAATATTTCAAGCATTTCTCCAAATAGTTAACGATGCTTTATATTATATTACGCGGTGCGATGCAAAATCTAGATAAAACTGTGAGCAAATAAAACTAACTGATTCCACGAGTAACAAGCATTATATTCAACCATCACTTACCCTGGTGGATGGTCCGCCGTCGCCTGATGCCTCCCAGGCCGCCTCCTCCTCAGGAATCCGAATTCCCCCGCGTTGTCCTTCGTCTGGCAGTCGCACATCACACACTCGCGCGCCAATATCAGGTTAGTTTCGGCTAATCGCGCGACGGATGCAAGCGAACGAAATCACTCACGTTTCAGCGACATCGACTTCAATTTGCGACGCTAATTCGGGCTACGCACTCGATGCACTGCAATACGGGATTAATCGCGACAGTAATTTGCTAATTAATCGCGTGTTAATGGCTCCGATCCACTCGCGTGCACTCGGGACGCGTTCCGTCAGCGATCGATCGAAAAATCCAAATGCAGCAAAAACTGCAGCAGCCGCGGCGATTTCACGTTGATACCGGCCGGTGACGGCGATTCTGCGTACTAATTAAAACGCGATGTTTCCGTCTCTGGAAATGTGGAATAGAAACCCGGTATCGCGCGACACGAAACGTTTATCGTTCCCGCAGGAGTGAATACCACACGAATCATATTACACATATATATACATTATCGATATCAATTTGCCGAAACAGACGGCGTGAAGTGGCCTCCCTCGAATCGCTCCCACGAAACGTTTCGCGCGCGTCGTACACTTCACGAGCCACTTCGCGAGCGCGCAGTCCGAGCTCTCGAGCCGAAGATAGCCGGACATCGTCGATCGAGACGCCATGGTGACACATTCGAACAGCGGCGTCGCTGTTTCGCTCGAAGAAACGATCGCCGTCCGTGATTATCGCGACGTATCTGCAATTCTCGTAATTCGGGTTTCCACGCGAACTATGTACGGTAGAGCGGTGCAAGTGCGAATCGCGCGCGCGAGATACTCGTCTCGGGAAACGGCGGTCGAGTCGTCCGCGAACAATGTTTGCGAAAGGGGTTAAGTAAACGCGCACGCGATAAAATTGGCAATCGTTAATCTTGCGTTACGCACGAACGCGGGAATTTCGCGCGATCGGCGTTCCAGCTGGTATTCGCCATGCGATTCCCGAGTGATAATGCCGACGACACGTGGATAGCGATTCGCGTGTCGGTTACCCCGCGACGAGCGACTCGAAGGTCGCGGGCGGCCTCGTGTTGTGTATACATGGCGCGCCGCGCGCCGACCGCCCGGGGTGAGCGAGCGTCGCGCGCCGCTGCCTCCCCCCCCCGCCCCAATGCCGCCTGCCGCGCCGCGCGCCCGATGAGTTTGTTTCTTCACGCGCGCGCCGCGAAATATTCACTGTGCGTCTGCAAAATAAACTCCGCTCGTCGCGCAGTCGACTACTTGCCTCGTCAATCAAGGATAATCGTTGAGAGCACATGATGCCTGAACGCCGGAATGTTCGCGGTCGGTCCTCTACTCCTCGTCTGGTACCTGCTTGTCGTCGCGATCGCGTCTCGAGTATAATGATACGACGACACGCGGGGCGCCGTTCGCCGGTCGGTCGTTTCGGTACGAGATGCTAAAAAATCGCGGCAATCTTCGTGCTCTTGGAAAAATTCAATAGTTCAAATATTAAATTGGTTAGTATTTTGAATTATTGCACGGAGAGAATTTTTTTTAAATTTACCCTGCAAATCATGTTAATTATAGGATAATATAGTATTTAGGCAAATTTTACTGTGCACTACAATAAGATTTCGTAGTAAAATTTATTGTAGTGCACAGTAAATTTTACCTAAATACTATATTGTCTCACAATTAACATAATTTTCAGGGTAAATTTTAAAAGCAAATTCTCTCCGTGTAGAAGCACCAACAACGTCAGTTATATCGATAAGTAATATTTCGTTTTTTTCACGTGATTATACGCGTATATCCGTTAATCTCGGGAGTGCCAAGTGCCCTTGCTTTCGTAAATAAGTATTGCACGAGAGTAAACGAGAAAATCTGAGAGAACGAAGAGGAGGAGCAGGAGCAGGTGCGAGGATGAGGCCTGGGAAGCAAGTGGTAATTAATTTCTTATCCATTATTTGTTACTTGTGAAATTAATCATCTGTTTGAATCGGTTTAAATTATTTTTTAATTATTGTATTTTTTGCAGACCAATACAGTAACTCCGCTGCTGCCCATCGTATCAGTGAGTGCCAAATTAACTTTTATTTCTTAATCTGAGAGAATCATTAATCTGTGAATATTACAAATGGATATGTATAATGTCTCACAGATCCATTATCTTAAAGTGAATGGGCTAGGATTAGCGGAAGATATTTAATCTTATATAATATATTAATTCCTCGTGCGTACATACAAAATTGCGTACATACAAAGTTAAAAAAGAGCTGTTTTTTTTTAATCAACATTCATATTATCTCGTATGGAAATGTAAATAAATCCGATAAACATGTTATCCGCGAGTGTATCAGTCAGTTTTATATCGGGCCTTTACGTGCGGATTAGATAGGTATATTTTTTTCAAGATTCAAATAAAACTCTCAAGCGTAATACTAAAGTGAAGATGTATCCCGGCTTGAATACAAAGGTATACTCATTTTGCCTGGCACGCTTTGTGACACTGAAAAATATTGTTAAAGCAAAAGAAGATCAGTAGCCACACATAAAAGTGCATCCAGCCGTGGATACTCTTTTTCTCGACGTTGCGCAAAATAGCGTCTCTATTCTTGCGACACTAACTGTTCTCTCTGTATTTCAAATGCTTTCACGAAGGTGTATAAACTGTTGAGGTATTGTTTGGAAGCGTTGAAAGTTCAAAATGAAGATACATACTTTTACATACGCCACACTTTGTGAGAAATATAGCGTAGAGCTGTTTATAATTTTCATAAAATGTAATTTTTAATAATTCACGCATATTTTTAACAATTCCGCAAACTTAATATAAACAACGTAAAAGTAGACAGATAAATTTTAATTTTATAAGATTTATCTGTTTTTATACATATAATGGCATTAAATCGATTATCCGTTACATTACATTATAACGTATGACATTTGTTTTATTTTTGAAATTATTTGTTTATATTGAATATATTGTCTGTCAAAGTCATGATTAAATTTATCTCGGAGCAGAATAAAAATAAGATACCAGATTAAAAGAATATAAGAGACTTGAATAAAAAATGTATTTTCAATATGACACAAACTATAACCGATATTCTGCATGAAGTTTATTACTTGCATCTTCATATTTTATATTTGCATTTTATGTACTACATCCGTTCATTCGACAGACAGTACATTCGATAATAGATAGAATTTTTAAAGGGAGCTTTATTTCTCATTTTTATTATTTTATTATTATTTCAATCCGATTTAATGTATATTAATTTATAAATAAGAATAATATTATACAAAATGTTAATAATTAAATTATTTTATTTTTCGAGACAGCATACATTCTTATAGGAAATACTCAATATTAATATTATAATTTAATTATTTTCTAAAAGAAAGAGAGAGGCTATTTAAAAAATTAAATCTCTTTTGACGTAAAAATTCTGTATTGTAAAAACATAAATAATCTTCACGATTGCCGTAATAGAAGAAAATAAGCCAGACATTTTTGATAGAGGAAACAGATGCGAGAAGAAGTAGGTTAATTATGACGAACAAATATCACGCTTTTCAAACACATATTTTGTAATTATTTTATCTTCTATTTTATTCTTTAATTCTCTGTTATATACATATAAGATTCTTCATATGTGCAATTACACAACAGTACTTGAATTTTTATCGTGAAATGAAAGCTCAAACTATTTCATTATAGCTTCAGTGTGAATACACATTTAGAATACGTTGTATTCAGTTTGTGTAGGCAAATGTTTAATAGTTTGATTGAGCACCGATTTCATTTTTTTAAACAAATTTTATTAATGAGTTTAAAGTTGAATTTGTTAATTAAATGATTAATTGTTATGTGCTACTTATCAAACGCTTATCTTTCACTAATTCATCTTGAAAAAGTAGAATCCGAAAAGATGTCTCTTCTTGTTCTTGCATTGTCGAACGTCATTATTCAAACGGGGCCATAAAAAGCATCGAAACGACGTTTCCAAAATAGTTTGGCCGAGTCTGTTGGCAATGTCTGGCGCGTTTCCGCCTGTTCACTTCCGGTTAAAAACAGCAGCATTCACGGTCGAGTGATAGAATTTACAGAAAGAAAATAGTGCGAAACATTTTATTTGCGGCGTATACAGTATAAGAATTTTATTTCCCGTGTACATCGCTTTAGTTCGTAGGTAAAATATGATGTGTAACATATGCGATGTATTCGACAAGTTGCCAGTCAATACATCAATATCACGTAGATACTGCAATAGATTCATCGCGTTCTACTTTAAATGATGCTTCCCGCGTCGCGATCCCGAAAGAATTCCCTTATTGTTGTCGGCTGAAGAGACGTATTTTGCAATATGAAACGCGATGGCAAACGCGAATTCCGATGATATCCGTCTGTTTCGAGATAATTGTGTCGAACGGAAACGTCAGGGGAAGCGATAATTTTATCAAGCGATCTCTCTCTCATAATAATTAATCAAGCGACTTCAAGTGAACAAGGTACATATATCACGGCATCCCCTCCTTCGGTCGGATGCAATCTTATCGGGGTTCCCGTTTTTCACCGCGGCGAGAACGATTCCATCGAAATACTGTAGTACGTCGACCGTAATCTTACGAGCCGGGGTGATCCTTAGGGATCCGGGGTGGTAGTGGCGCAATTGTCGTCGCTATAGTGAAGAAATTCTTCTGAAAATGTTCCAATATTCCGATTCACCGCCAGCAATCACCGCCGGCCGCGGATAAAAAGTTTCGAGCTGTTCATCCGAATAATTCGAATTACCAACAGCATAATGCGGTTTGAGCGTGTAATTTACATTCATTCATTAGGCGTTTGTCGCTGTGGGTATATCCGTGTAACTCGCCTATGCGTTTGGAGAAACAATTATTGGCAAAAATTGAAATGTATAGCGCGCTCGGTAAAAAGCTTGTAAACAATGAACAAAATGCTTTGTCGAAATTGTCGAAAGCATTGTATTATAAATATTTTAACCGAATTATTCGAAGCTTTATTCCGTAACAAAATAAAATTGAAATTTTGATAAATGTTTTTTTTTTTTAAATAAATGCACGTAGTGATAGCATCAGATAAGGGTAACGTTGATAAAAACACTTAACATTGTCTTTTAATGATTTCCTCCAGCTTGAATAACGATAATAGCATGGCGTGTTTTACTTTCGTGACTTACTCTCTAATGCTATCATATACTCTAGGCCGCGCGTTTGCGTGACATTGTCGCATAATCCATTAAATATTACATGGAAGTAGGATGCAAATAATTTGCTCTAAACGCATAGTAATCTCTAGCAAAAATATTCACTTCGGAAAAGCTTAAGGAAATTTTCTCGCTATCGCTTCCAGGGATTGATTTGCTTCGCTTCGCTATTTACGGCGTTTCGCATTTATAGCGGCATTAAAAGAGTTTAAGTGATTATACTTTTACTCTATCATTACTTTATATCGCTTGAAGAAATATATTTTTTTTATTATAATGTTTTTAAAGACAGAAAGCATGTTTTTTAAAAAAGTGAAGTAATCTGAATCTACGTAATCTGATATGCTATATATTTGATCGGTTTAATTTGTTCTCGCATACATTTAATTCAATCAGGATTTTATTTACTCAAGTTAGCCAAAGGCGGATAGTATTGATCATGGCAATTTGCAAGATGAAGGAAAAAGGAAATGATTCTTCTCCTTCGGTGGAGGAAGCCCAAAAAGCCACGGCGGGGACTGATGAAAGAATATCCGACAATGAGGACAGAACATTCTGGTTGTCTCGATTCTAAGAATCCACCCCTAAAATTGTCAGCTTTTGTCCATCTGAATCAGCCGGCTAACAAGTTTCTACCCTCTTAACCATTCACGCGACCGTTTCGATGAAGCTGCGAGAAAAAGCTTTGGCGTCAGCTTTTTCCGGGGTTCAGCCACGCGCTTTTGTATGGAGCATATTTTTCCATTTTCTTGAAGTTTGGAATTTTTATTAAAACTGCGCAATGGTGATCCAATAACTTTTTATGTTAAATTGTGTAACGCAATTCTCTCATGCAAAAACGCCTTGATAAAAAACTTATGAATGTTATTGAAATTAATGGCATGCCCCTGGCCGTGGAATTGCTGCTACGCCGTAACGAATGAAAAATGCGAAATGCAAATGGAACATGTCACGCCATTATTTGATCCGAATGCTCATAGGGAGTTTCTTTTTCAGGAGGATGGCGCGTCAGAGTTCTTGCGTTAGTGGGAGAATTTAATATCACGCGTCCCAGTTTGCTAAAGCCAAAATGAACACTTTTTATACATATAAGAATTATTCAACTATATATATGTATGTATATATCTATAACTTTCGTTTTGTGTAGGGAAGGCGAAACGATTATGCAAGTCGTCACACAGATTTAATGTTAATGAACTTCATGAAAGAAGTTTTAATATGCATTATAATCGAGTTAGGCGAATATGAGCTTAACTATTAATGATTAGTAATTGAGCTTTAGTAAGTGAATTTTAGTATTAAACATTGTTAACACTTTTCGCAAAATCGGTAATCCTTTTTCCAGTAATCAGTAATCAGTAATTTAGATTAAAACGGATGCGCTCGCACACGCGCGTGAACACCAAATACAATGCAGAACAATGCAATTGAGAACAATCGATCCATAAAATTCTCGATTTCATTTTACGAGCTGTATAAATTCCCGTGTTGTTGGGTGATGCAGTAGTTCTGCATGTACGGTTCGCATAGGACGGTCGACTATAAAAATATATGTGTGAAAACGTATTTCTGCCAACGCGTTTGTGACTCGTAATTTAACGTCGACTGACGTCCCTTGAGTCTATCGTTGAGAGCAAAATCAACAAGACTTAACGTCACGACTAGAACTCGAAGATCTTTTGAAAGACGACAATAGTGAACCTGATGTACGTGACACATCTGATATTGCTGTAGTATATCAAGAGCAGTAGAAATCACTAATAAAAAATATCATCAATAACGTTGTAATATACGTTTGGAATTTTTTCGTAAAATAGTTTAGCATTACCCAAAAGTATAGTACATTTAAAAAAGTTTCTACTTTTTTTCTTATATAAAATTATAGAAAAATATATATTTTACGATTTTTCAATTTATATATAGGTATATATAAAAGATAAAAAATATTTCCATTTTTTAAATAAATTAAAATTTGAAATTACATAACGACGTTTTTTATTTTTTTTTTATTAAAAAAAATTGTTTGAAATTGTATGACGCATAAATTTAAAAAAAATATTTTTTTATAATTTTATATAGGAAACAAATAGAAATTTCTTATAACTACATTTTTGGATAATGTTAATCTACTTTACGAAAAAATCTCAAACGTATATTGAATGAAAGTACGTGCAAATGAAAACAACGTGTACAAAGAAAGTGCTTTTATTTACCGTATACATAATAGATACCGTCTACCTGCACTCAAGTCTTTTAGAATGGCAGATAGAGATACCAGTAAAGCCTCGCTGCACCGAAATCAGATTACTAACGCTGTGAAGTAGAACCTATTCCGAAGCTACGATTGCCATCGAATCCAGGTAACCGAGAAAATGCTTGTGGAGATATTCATTTGTGTAGTAAGTTCGTGTAAGAACTTTATACTTGAGTATTATGTAAGTCACTAGCGGCGCAAATAGGTTGAAAATCTCTTTAGACAATTATGATGACAAGTTGTTTATATCGAGTGCGCATTTCTGTAAATAAAATATGATAATATTTATTTCTTTTAAGCCTCTTTGAATTTTTTTGAACGAAAGTTTTCATGTTGGATTTTAATTTGTGAGAGAGACTTATTTTTTTTTAATCATTAATCGGACGGGCGCGGCAAAAGTCAGTGATACAAATCTTGTTCGTATATCGCACATAAGGCTTTAATGTCTTCCCACGTTATTGGATAGCCACGCAATGTTCTATTACCGTAATGAAATAATGCCTATTATAACTTAGTCGCGATTATTCTCATCCGCTTATAAAAAAAGATGCATAGTAGATGCTAATCGTTGGTTTTTTCCTGGATGTTAATTAGTCATCTCAATACATGTTACTTCGTATGTACATAAACCATTGTTATTGTATTTATTAACAATTCGTATATCGAGTGTCGAATAAATTCATGAATAGTAATGTTAGTGAGCGTTATATAAATGTTAATAAACATTGCGAATACATTTTAATAAAAACTGATAAAAGGATTTTTTAAATTTAATTAAGAAAATTATAATTTTAATTTTAAAAACTTTTAAAATAATATAAAATGTAGAAATCAACAAATTATAAATTTTTTAAATTCTTAAGTTTATATTTAAACATTTTTTTAAACACCAGAAATTCCAGTTTTAAAAGTAACATTAAAAAATTTCAAATTTTATAAAAATTTAAAATTTAGATCTTTTAGAACTTGAAATATAATAAATTATTAAATTAAAAATTCTATAATAAAATTCTACAATATTTATTTATTACTTTTAATTATTGCAATATATCTTTTACTTTTTTTTTAATTTAACGCAAACGGATACAATATATGTTATATGATAAAATACAGTTGATAATCATTACAGCGTTGCCATCTGTTGGAAGCTCTACGTATTCGCTAATTATGTAACTTGCGATCAATATTATCTATTGTAATATTTTCAACAAAAAATTATATTTAATAATAATCTTTGGTTGATGTAATTTCAATTTACTCCTACATGTTGAAAGTTAGAAAAAGTTTTGTCACGTATAGCTTTTTTGTTTTCATTAATTATAGGCAAAGTAAATGATTAAAATAATTAAAATCATAATTAAAATCTATCTCATATGTAAAAGACTAATAGAATTTACCAAAAAAAAAACTTTATATAAATGTTTTATCCAGTGAATATTTCGAAAATATTTTACCTTATACAGAATAACGAAAGCTTACCGTGAGTGTTCAAGAAGGAATTTTTTTTAGAGAAACAGATAAATACAATAAAATCTATTTCTTCAAATGTATGTTATATGTAAATATTTAAGCAGTTATATATAAAAAAACAGTTAATGCACTAACAATTAATAATTTAGCTTCCTTAATTTACTTACAATATTTGTCAAGTTACCGACAGTGAAGAGTATCAAATACTACATTCAACTTTCAATACACGATAATATGCAGCAACATATACAATATTGCTCTTTATTTTACCTTAATTAATAATGCCACTAATATGTAAAAAGAACATGGATTTATCATTTGTTGTAACGAATTAATCATAGTTTAGTTTTTGCTGAAAGGAATATTGATTGCTCATGTAATACAAAACTATTGATCTTTTACACGTTATTAAAGATCAACGGAATACATGTATTGCATGATATAAGATATTATGTAATATCATTAATTGTTAGTTACATAAGTGATTTAAACAGTAATATCAGAGATTAAAATAAAGAAAAGCAACATCTTTTTCTTCTTTGTGAAAAGAGATTTAATGTTCTGGTTGTGGTACAAGAGTATGGAAATAGAAATTTGCATAGAAATGTAATGTACTTGCAGCTGTTCTGTTACAGAGCCGTTAGATCACGTAGTAAACTGAATTTTTTTCAGAAATATGCAAATTTCGGCTTTGAACACAAAGCAATTTTACGAATATTTATGGACTGAAATTTTATTATATTTATAGACGGCAGTGTATAGGAATTTTTTACATAATATACTAATTATAATTTAAAAAATGTAGAAAATTGAATTTTTTTAGCAGCCTTTATGATATGTTTTGTAAAAAAATTCATTATAAAAATTTATTTTACATTTAAAATTGAAACATTTTATATTCATATTGTAAACCTGATACATATTACCTACTTCTTTTACATTGCAATTGATAAAAGTAAAAGTTCAAAAAATAAAGTGTTAATTAAAAAAATAGCTACTGGATAACGACAACTTCATTGAATGTTGGAATTTAATGCTGAATAAAACATGTCAATCATAATTTGATCGAAAACAAATATTATGGCTGTATTTTTTGTAGATTTTATTAATTTTTATTTTATTAATATCTTTTTCAAATATACGTACTTTATTTCACAAAAAATTTATTTAATTTATTTAATAAAAAAATTTAAGATGATTGAATAAAGTAATATAATTTTTTTCTTCAATTTTTTCTGACAAGCAAAATTACAAATATAACATGTGAATAATAAAGTAACAGATTGAGTTTTTATAATTGTCGTGGAAATAGGAATACCATTTTCTTTCGTTATCGAAAAATTTTTCTTACAAAAAAATATATTACAATGAAATATTTGTACAAATATTCTAATTTACAATATTTTTTATTTGATTTAACATACTTTAACATTTATATATTAACAGCCATTTTTCATTAACGTTCATTAATATTTATATTAACAGTCGAGGTTCTTAAATTCTCTGTCTTTGTAGAATTGCAAATAAAAACTAACGTGTAGATATGCATTAATTAATTACATAGATACACTCCATAAAAATATAATTCGGTTGTCGATTCAGAATTTTTTATTTCTCTCATATACAATCGAGATAAATATTGTATCGTTCCGTAAACTTGTAAATAATTATTTTTATTTTTTTACTATGCTATCTTTACAATAACTTATATTATTTGACAATAACTTTAACTTCTATGCTTTTTGTTCTGCATAAATAGCGATATATATTTAAAATGACTTCTCTGAAAATCTTATTTGTTTCACCTGTCGAAGCTGCACTTCTAATACTGCTAATACTGTAATTACTTATTCGGCGGAATGTATGTATAACAATTGTAGCATTTATTATTCGGATGATGTATACTACAATTTTTCACAGAAGCATACACAGAAATCAGTTCATATTACTTTGTTTATCGTTTAGTTATCACTACTACTATAAATGTCTTATATTTAAATATGATTCTTTGTATATGATAAACATAAATGTATATACTAACAGAAATTTATTCGCGTGACATTATTCTAAATGCGTCAAGGAACAGAAAACATGTCACTTTAATATGATATACTACTAAATAATTTAAATATTGTAACAATTTTAATTATTCATATCTGTTATATGAGTATGTATTTAATTACTTTTCGAATGCCACAATTAAACATATCGAAATTCGGCAATGTAAAGCTTGAATTGAGAAGACATCATCAAAAACATAATTTTAATATTATTTATATGAATATAATTTTACTTAATCAATATTAATCAATATTAAGTGACACAAAAATTATTTTATACGAACGATTATAAGAGAAATTCGATGTTGATGTCTTCTTTACGAAGTAACTAATCTATCATGTATAGTTGGTTCTGTCCAAGTTCGTTGATTCCTTAACGACTCGTCAACGCCATTTGGATACGCCGACAGAGTGATAGTAGTTTCTTGCTCTTTGATCGGAGTCGCAGGTCGTATATCACCCGCCATAGTAGAGAGGCGCATCACACTTCGTTGTTCTCGACGAGAATCGCTCATATACTTTCTTGAACTGACGAGCGAAAAGCTTTGCCCTCGTCCGCGTGAACTTTGATCTGACGATCGTCGATATCGATTCTGCATCTTCTTCGAGATGCAACAGAACAGGTATCTGATGCAAATTACAAAGTTACTTAGATAGTCAGATGATCAGTCAAGACGTATCGATTTAGCTGACGTATTGTTAGTATCGTTCAAAAAAAAATTTTTGAAAAGTCTCCCTTTAGAGTTTACGAAAAAGAGAGAGATTTTTTTGAACTAAGTAGACAGTGATGTGATTACATCTTTTAGTGCAGAAACATTCAAACTAGGAAAAATATTCATAAACTTTTTAAAGTTAGAAGTTCCATTCGATTTTCCTAATTTGCAAATTTTCAGAGCTTTACTCGACTCGTGGTTGACATAATAAGATTCTACAACTTTGAGCTCACCTGTCAAAGTACTTTCTGAAAGTACCGCTCACGCAATAGAGAGCGATTGGGTTGATGCAGCTGTTGATGAAGGCGAGGCAGAAACCCAAGATACGAAAGTAGTGCCAAAAGGCGTTGTAATCCTTCTGCACAGTAGGATGAAAATAAAACCACATCATGAAAACGTGTTGCGGGAAAAAACAAACAGCGAACACAATGACGAATGCCATGACCATCTTTGCCACTTTTTTACGGGCTTGTACTTGCTTCACCTAAACACAGAGTTATTATTATTATTATTATTATGCAAAAGAACACGTAATGTTTACTATATAAACTATTTCGAGGCTGTAATAATCTCGTAAATTTTGTCATAAGATTGTTCGCGGATGAAGAGAGAATTTAGAAATTGAGATAAAAATAGATAGATAAGAAGATAGGTAAACATAAACGTTGATGAAACACCATAATATTTTCGCGTGTTATAATTGTAAAATTAACTAAAATATTTTAATTAACGTTTGTGTTTGTCTATCTACTTATCTATCTATTTCTATCTCAATCTCTAAATTCTCTCTTCATCCGCGAACAGTCTTACGACAAAATTTATAATTATTACAGCCTCAAAATAGTTGTAATTAAACGCACGTATGTAAGTTACCTGGCCTTGCATTTCGCCGATTATATTTTTTGTGCTGCGCATAAGATGTCTGGCCATCAACATATAAAAGATGGCGATAATACTAAGGGGTATGATGTAATAGATGAGGAACCGACCCATCACTATTACCTTCGGATAGGTCGTTCCAAACTCCTCGGGAAACGGATAGCACACCTGCAATTATATGGTACATGCATTAAAATCATTAGTTCGTCTATAGCGATCCCCATACAGCGGTTAACGACGAGCTTCATGGGCGAGATCTAAAACGGGAGTTAGTTATGAGCACGACGATCTGACTTACGTAGAAGCTCACATTCCGGTTAACCTTGAAGAATCTGATATACGCAAAGTTAGCTGGGATCGCGCATACTATAGCCAAAACCCAAATCAGCACCGCAACGATTATGGTGAAGCGTGTTGCCCGTCTACCACTACCTTAAATAAATAATTAGATGATTTAATCGCCACACTTTATTTTTTATTTTTTTTTTTACTCAAGGAGTAAAAAAATGTTTTACAAGTTTCATTTATGACGCTATAAAAAAATATGCAATTTTAATTTATCGAGAATGACGATTGTTATTCAAATCATTACATCAGCAGTGAAATTATTTGCCTTATTGA